ACTCCATAATTGATGTTCAATTTCTGACTAGAACCCAATATCGTTCACTTCCAAAGCCTTTCGCATTATTCACTTAGCGACTGAATCCAGAGAGCCATTGGCTCATGGGTGTTCAGAACTGCAGTTGGTCAATCTCTTTTGTGCTGATTGCTACGTTTGAAGCCAGTGATACCAAGTTTAAGTCTTGAATTGATCATCAACTCTGGAGTGCAGTTACGTCCAAATGAAACTATACAGATCAGAGGAAAACTAAAACTTATCATTTATGAGATCCAAACTAAAAGGCTGCTTGTAGACCACAAATCACTGTTTAAAAATAATTCCAATTTTTTAGAAATATTTCTGAAAATCGCTACGTGTATGACTATCTACAAACACAGTTTGGTATAAAATAAATGCATCCAAAAGTTATCTTCATACTATCCAATGGGTGACTGAACTGATCTAGTTACACAATACAAGGAGATAATTTATAACCTGTTATATCTTCTTCCTTTCCATTTACATCAATACTACACACAAGGTACATGAGATAAGTTTAACAGTTAAGAACAAACCGTATCCCTGTTTAATTTATTCTCGCAAAAATAAATAGAACTAATCCATTTAATCCATTAAAATAAAATTCAAGTAAATTATCTTAGAAGAATCTATTCAATATAAAGAACTACTGTATATACACTTACTTATATTACCTTTTACATTACTCAATTTAATGTTCTTCTGTAAACGTATCATTAAACATTGGTGATCTAATCCCTCGAGCGGGATCATGAATGCATACTGTTGAGGAGTTCTACAATAGGACGAAACAACCGTCCAGTTCTTTTAGGTTTTCAATGATGGTCTAACATCAATCGGTTCAAGATCTCAATCAATAACTTGATCATCTCCAAAAACCTATACTGATAATAAATATAAACCTGGTTTATGAAACACTTAAGTGACTTTTGATCATATGCAATTCATTTTATTAAAATTTTGGCTTAAAATATTACAATTACTAATGTCCTTTTTGTTTAGCTGATAGATTACATATCACTAGGTTATCTTTATTTGAAATTCTAGATCATTCAGTAATCTTCAGTGTAAACGGTAGAATAGTTTTAGGTTCATCTTTTAAAATCATGTATTAGAATAACTTAGCAATTTAAAATCTATATTTATGTTATGTTACTGGAGTTTACAATTGAATTCAATGACATATTTTAACTTAAGAATGTGTACTTACTAAAAGTACTTCTGTAATTTAAGAAACATTTATATACAATGATTCATTTAAGATTATCAGTATAGGGTTGTGGAATTGTAATGAGAAATCGTGACCAGTGGAGCTAATTTGTGTCAGATAGAGACAGGTATCTACTTCAGTACAATGAAATATGGTTGCATAATTTCGTGGATTGGTTGAGGTTAGATATTAACACTGTTGGATGCCGACTCAGTGGTCTAGATGTTAAGCGTTCACGCACGAGACTGAAGTTCCTGGATTAGAATCCCGCGAGCGGGATCGTGGATGCGCACTGTTGAGGAGTCCCATATTAGGACGAAAAGGCCGTCCAGTGCTTCCAGGTTTTCCATGTTGGTCTAACATCAATCGATTCATGATCTAAATAATTTAAGATTTACAAACAGATATCAATAATTCATCCAGTAAACTAATTTCTTAATAAAATCTCTATTCAGTAAAATAACAGCAATGTTTACGTGATCTTGGAGGTGCCCACCTACTTCTAGGATTAAAGGAGTGTTACAAATTGGTATGACAAATTGGGATTAAGTGCTAAAAGTTAGAGTTTTCATCATGAATTGACATTGACTATAATGCCAACAAACTATTTAGCTATATAGATGGATGAATTTCGCGCTAAAATCCAAAAGACCTGCTATTTTAAATCTGATTGGTTTGTCCATAAATTATATTTTTGCCAGATATTCCTTAATAAACTTCTTTAATTACTTGAAAAGATTAAAATTACATGCATTTGGTTTAAGATTTGCGTTGACAACATCCTTATGATTCAAATGATCGTGTTAAAAACACTATCTAATTGCTTGATAAAGAAGATTTAACCAATATTCATCGTTTAAACAATTATCTAAGCTAATGTTTATGATTTAATTTACGGAACTTGACACCACATTGTTACTTTGGAGAACAATTTTGACAGTATATACATACATTTGGTTACTTTGTTGATCCGAGCTTCCGATCACGTGATATGGTGTTGAGCTACGACAGAGCTCCACTCCTATATAATTTCTTGTAGGAGTCAGCGGTTACCTATCAAGCTTCTGGTTCTGAGTTTGTTAAGTTTTTTTTGCATCCTTGTAAGTTTTCTACTATGGTAAGTAAAAAAAATGAGCGGTGTCAGTTCAATAATTCCCACCCACTATCAAGGAGTATAAGTGTAGTTTATTTAAAACGCCATACAAAAAGCTTCCATGTACTACTACTAAATTCTTAATAAAGGGAGAATGGCTTTACAGAGTATTCTATCCTAGCATATGTCATTTAGTTTTCATTATTTCTTCAAGGAGGTAAAAATTTATCCCCTACTAAACTACTATTTTCAATCCACATTTTTATTGATTAGTCTGCCCGATTGAGGGTGATCAGAGATAGTTTTAACACCTATTTATGTCACAACGGGTTTTGTGGAGAGTTTAGAAATTTCACTAGTTGAAATCATGAGTCAATTGAAGGTAGACCACTATGAAAAATCTGGAAGCACTGGACGACCGTTTCGTCCTAGTATGGAACTCCTCAACAGTGCGCATCCACTATCCCGCCTCCTCGCGAGATTCAACCCCAGGACCTATCAGTCTCGCGCGCGAGCGCTTAACCATTATCCCACTGATCTGGCCGGCATCCAACGGTGTTAATATCTAACTTCAACCAATTCACGAAATCGCACCACTGTACACCATTGTGTTCATTGAGTTGATATCTCACAATGGACCTCATTGAACTCCACTGGTCACTGCTTCTCACTAGAACTTCCGGAAATGCCTCTTGAAGTCTTTATGTGTACATAAATCTAATAATCTAGTCAAGAAAGTAAAACTGATAAGCGACATTTCTATTGTTTCGATAGTTCGTCCAACTCGATAAACGTTTACAAACTCATGCTTGTGAATAAAGTCAAACTAATAGATTAATTCCTGTTTATTAGGATAAAATGGGTTGTAAAGAAATGTACCTTGTAGAAATTAAAGTTTAACACCGAAATGCTACTCTATATCTAATATTTAATGATTCTGTTATATCCCGACGAGAATTATGAATGGTAACTCTTGAGAACTATTTATGGATCAATACGATACGTATATTTTTATTGTATAATTGCTAAGTAGCTAAACTATGAATATTCATGTTCCCCTTATTAAAAGCTTTATTTTAACCCATAGACTATTATTTACCGTTCTTGAGTTATACTCAGTCTATTAATTACAGTCTCTCACTTTCATTGCCTCTTTTGGCTAGATCTATTTTATGGTACAATGTGGTCTGTTTGGTTTGTATATAAACCCAGTATGTTTGAAATATATGATTGATATCACCAAGGCTGATATTGGTGTTCTGAACTTTAACAGGTAGGGATAAGGACCGATAAGGACTCTAGACTGCTCGCACGGATTTTAAGTGTCATTGATTCGGTCGATAATTCACTGTTTTCTAACTGGCAGTATCATTACGTAATATATTAATAGGGCACAAGACCACAAGTTATAACAAATTCTAGATAAATTCTTCGATAATCCATTGTTAAAGTTAGAAATACTTTAGCCATTCTTTTACTACTACTCATAATTTTTAGTTTGTTCTTGTTTTTAAAGCTTTACCTAAGTGAATTAGAAGTTCACCCCCATTGCATACGCAAGTGGCTATCAGAACTCAGTAGCTAAGTGGATAACGTGATAGCATTTGAAGTGAACGGTACTTTGTTGAAGTCTCAGGGTGAACATCAATTGTGAGATGAAGGTACATCCAATCGACGAGTCCCACATAGGATGAAGTGTCGCGCATCTTTTATTCTACTGATAGTCACTATCCATCTTTGCTTATAGTGCTTGTGAATTAAGGTAATATCGAGGCAATCCTCACAGTCTTCACATATGCTAATAAGAGGCTGATAAATTACAGTCCTAAATATCAATGAAAAGATTCAAGTAAACAATACTAAGTGAATTTGTTTGTTTTATTTCATTCTCAAACAAAAGTTTTTCAAATTTATATTGTCTTATGATATATATAATTGAATGGTTAAAGAATAATCTAAGAGGGAATTCTATACTTATGTTAACTGATTGTCGAAACAATTCATAAGAATTCAAATTCTTTCTTTTAAAATGCTCTAGTACGGTCGATGGTGGGGAGAGTCATCTTTCTTTCTCCCTTTTCAAACGCTTTCACATGGCTACACGTATACAGCCACTATCAGAGAACTCTTATTGATTGCCTTCTAATGACGGAAATGTTGCTTTGTATATTGTAAAACTTTAAAGTTTATTCAACAAATTTAAAAAAAAGTAATTAGTATTTGTATCAGAAAGGGTTTTGTGGAGATTTTAGTAATTTCAATAGTTGAGATCAATAGTCAATGGAATCTAGATCACCATGGAAAACCTGAAAGCATTAAACGGTCGTTTCGTTCTATTATGGGACACTTCATCAGTACGCATCCACGATCCCGCCCCTCGTGGGATTCAAACCCATAACCTATCAGTCTTGTGCACCAGCGCTTAACCACTAAACCATTGATCTGACCAGCATCCAGTCGTATTAATATCTGTACTTTAATTAATCCACAAAATTGTGCGACATATTTATCATTGTCATCAATATATATCATCTAATCATATTTTATATTTTAGATTACATTTCAATTGAATGACTATTTGTAACCAAGGCAACTGTAAACAACAACAACAACAACAACCCCCACCACCACCATAACAACAACTATACTACATAAATCAATATTCTTCTTTATTAAATGTATCGTCGATTATTTAAAAAAAAACATGATTTCTCATCACGTATCATATATCCAAGTACATTAATACAATATTATGATAAACAATCTACTATTATAAAATCTAAATCTAAATTGAATTATATTAAAACAACTAAATATACATTATTAACATTTATACCATATAATTTATGGGAACAATTACATCGTTTTGCTAATATTTATTTTATATTTATATTAATATTAAATTTTATACCAGAAATTGATGCATTCGCTAAAGAGATTGCACCAATTCCAGTATTAATTACATTAACTATTGTTGCTATGAAAGATGCCTATGAAGATTTTAGAAGATATTTATTAGATCGTAAAGTAAATAAAAAACCATGTGAAGTGTATTCAGTGTAAGTGATATTATTGATAAATTTATATATAATTTCTGGTTAGTGTTTTTTTTTTTCTTTTAGCGAGTTAGTTTTCTATGGGATTAGGGTTGCCAACCTCATACTCAACCCTCCTCCTTTATCTGGCCTTGAGACAGACAGTAGTCCCCGGAGGGACTCCAGGCGGAGTTTATATATATATATATATATATATATATATATATATATATTAAAAAAGGGGTTCTAGATTTTTTTATGGTTGGTAGTCTACGTTTAATGAATTCATGATCTTAACAATTGATTTATTTATAGTTTAGATTAGATAAAGTTATAAATTGAATTATATTGAGGTAATATGTATAGTATGTGTACATGTTATAACTGGTTGTTGCTGATTGTTGTGTTGAAAAAATGCTGATCACTTATACTGGGAAGGAAGGGACCATCTACGATTACCACGACGAGAATGTAAGAACACAAAGACAGGTATAAGTGAAGATTTATTAGCCCTAAAACACTATGACGACGATGATGACGATGATGATGATGATCCTAGTCGAAAATCCACTCAATTACATATTAATTGTACACCCATTTTAATTAATAATTAGGATGAAATCACATACTCAGTTATAACACATCACTTACTGGGCATAGATCATGTCAACTGAATACAAGAATATCGTATATTATACAGAATAAACTATCATACGGGGAAACAAAACCGAATACTGCACTGAATGATCATCACGTTGAATCAAAACGGAAGAAATCTTTAATAAAACTCGTAGTGAGTAAATCAATTGAATTTTGCCCCCCAATGCCATGGTGTAGTCAAGGGTGGGGAAAGTACGCTCTCGTATGGCCACACGAATACAGCCACTGACAGGGAAGTTCTTCTCACTGCCTTCTCGTGGTGAGGGTGTTGTTTACAAAACAAAGACGACAAAAATCAAATGTTCGGTGCTTTAATCGGGTTGGTTGACACGGAGAGTCCACATAGAAAAGTTGGAAAACCCTCATTCCAAACCAATGATGTACATGGACTCCTGTATCCTGAAGCATCAAATAGCGTATGAACCAAATATTGGTCATCAGCTACCATAAGACTGCATCTCCTAACACTGCTTCACTGACTTGTAGATCAGACCTTTAGGTCGAAGGCTTCAGATGTGGCGCGCCATGAAAACCATCTGCTTCGGTCTAGGTACCCGGGCAGTATTCCAGCCCTCACACAAATTGAATGACAAAGTGTGGTGTATATCTATTTGGTGCTTCCTTGTACTAATATTTATGTGTTCAAATAAATAAATAAAATGCATATATTATGAGAAGGGGTTTTGTGGAGAGTGTAGTAATTTCAATGATTAAGATCATGAGTCAGTTGAAGCTAGACCACTATGGAAAACCTGGAAGCACTGGACGGCCGTTTCGTTCTATTATGGGACTCCTCAGCAGTGCGCATCCACGACCTCGCCCCCTGCGAGATTCGAACCCAGGACCTACTGGTTTCGCGCGCGAGCACTTAACCACTAGACCATTGAGCCGGCATTCAACGGATGTTAATGTCTAACTTCAACTAATCCACGAAATTGAGCGATATATCCACCATTGTCTTCAGTGAGTTACTATCCCACAAGAGACCTGGTTGAACTCAACTGGTCACTACTTCTCACTAGAACTCCAGGATATACCTCTTGAAGCCAGTCACTAGTGATCATTGAAATTACTACAATCTCCACAAAACCCCTTCTGATAATAATCAACATATTCTCTGAAGAAGTGGCTTGCAATAAGTGACGAAACATCAGAATATCTAGTTGTTTTTTTTTACTGATTTGAATATTACAAATATCTAATTTACTCTTTCTAGTATTTCATATAGATTAAATTATGTTAGTCAGTTTATATACTACAATCATTTGGATAAATAACAACAACAAACTACAATAATTGAGAGTTTTTAAAAAGAGAAAATATATAATGAATTTGTTGTTGTTGTCTACAACACTGATTGTACTTTCTTTTATTAATGTGATAAACTTTAATGGTTCAATAATAGTATAACATACTGATGATCCTGATCAACTTATCAATCAATCAGGAATTGTTGCTTAATTAGTTAACAGTAATGAAATAAGAGTAGAACAATAGTTTTGATCTCAATAAATAACAATCACAAATAAAATTATCCGTTCTAGTCAAGAAAAAAATAGGGACAAGTTTACATATTTGCGTATACATTTAGAGTTGAGCTAGTATTTTGATTCAGGATTATAAAGAGATGATTTGCTTTCATCCTGTTTACAAACTTGAGAAAGTCGATGTTGAAATTTCGGGTGATAGTAAGGAAAGGAGCACAATATGTAGTTTCACTAAACACTTGTTATTTATTTTATTATTTATTTGAACATATAAATATCGATACAAGGAAGCACCAAATAGATATACGCCACATTTCATCATTCAATTTGTGTGAGGGTTGGGATAATATCCCGGGGCCTAGACCAAACCAGGTGGTTTTCTTAGGGTGCCACACCCGGAGCCTTCAATCTAAAGGTCTGATCTACAAGTCAGTGGAGCAGTGTTAGGAGATTCAGTCTCGTGGTAGCCGGTGACCATCGATTGGTTCTTACGCCATTTGATGCTTCAGGATACAAGAGTTCATGTGCATCATTTGTTTGGAATCAGAGTTTTCTAGACTCCCTCATGTAGGCTCTCCGTGTCCACCAACCCGATTAAATTATCGGATATTTGATTTTTGTTCTCTTTGTTTTGTAAACAACACCCTCACCACGAGAATGCAGTGAGTAGGACTTCCCTGTTAGTGGTTGTATACGTATGGTCATATGAGAGCATTTGGAGGAAGGACAGTGAACTCTCTCCACCCTCGACCACACCAGGACATTTGGGGGCTACACTTGATTGTACAATGAATTGTGTTAAGTACTTTGACTCACAACCTGTTTTAGGAGATAGTATGTTATGTCATTTAATTTAAGCATCATATAACATTCATTATCGTTGCTTAATAAACATTTCTATTGGTTTCAAACATTTGAGAAACCAAATATTGCCAATTTTCATTTGATTAATAGGAACATACACATTATCGATCACTGTACTTGAAACATTGAATAAAATAATTGAGGTATTCTCTTAAATCTGAGTAATTGACTCAAAACCTTTAGTATATCTTACTTTCACCGGTCGTTCTTATTTTCTAAGAGATATCAATATTAAAGATGGATGTTGTTGATTAGTGAAACCATCTATAAAACATAAATTTCAATGTTTAGTTTAAAGTTTAAAAGTTTTGAAGAAATCATTCTAAAGACAACTTGTAATTTTGTTCCGTCATCTTTCATTTCAATTAAAATCCAGTTAGAATCATAAATATCCTTTGTTTTGACTTTTTAAATTCTTCTATTGATATTGACGACTGAAATTGATTTTCGAGTCGTGGAGTAAACATCAACTCTGGGATTCAGATACATCCAGCTGACGAGTTCCAAATAGGACGAATTGCGCCTCCTGAATTCTACTGCAAGCCATCATCCATCTCTGCTGATACAATTGTCCTTGTTTGATCATATTGCAACAGATTTTTGGTGACAAATATCATATCTACAGAACGCTTTAAGTCTGAGTTCCCTCCAGGCTGACATTCATCAGCAAGACAGATCTGCATTATTGTATGTGATGTACTCGGTATGTTTAAAACTCGTATAATAGCCAGAAACATAACCAGTAGGTTATCTAACGTACAACCATTCTCTTCCGCAGTAGGTTGCTACTGACAATTTTTGGTCAACAGGTCTGGAGTGTTCTATGTATATAGCTATTTGTAAATATCCCTACTTTTCTGAAATGATTGTCCTATTTCTGAAAGTTTCATCTCCATACAGTAGAAATGTCTTGATGTTCATATTCAAGATTCTCACTTTGAAATTGATTGACAATTGTTTTAAGTTTCATATATTCTTCAACTATAATGAAGTGTTGCTCGAGTTTCTTTCAAAAGTTACTCTAGATATCATAAATAGGGTATAAAATTTAATTTTAATTTCATCTAAATCATTAATTTTTATTCCAGAATTATTTTTTCATCATTAGTTATTGAAGTAACTGCTAGGATGAAGATATATCATGTATGCATTATTTTATGAGATATTAACGTCAGACATTAAAATGCTGAACTTTATGACTGTTGTTTCTCAAGAAAATAGATTTGTAACTCAGGTGGATGATTTAAATGGAGTTTTGGGCGACTCTAATTTATGGACGAGCTAATCAGAAGCGTTTGACAGATTTTAAGGTCATAGCGCCAATTTTAGCGCTTAGTGCTAACATACGATCGGTTCACAGGGGATTTTGTACAAAACGTGATAATTGATCGTCTACAAGAAATAAAATGGCGAAACTATAATTTGTGGACGAATCAATCAGGTATAAGATAACAGATCTCGGATTTTGGCGCGAAAACATTTCATCCTTTTGGCTAAATAGATTTTTGGCATTATAGCTGATGTCAATTCGTGATGAAAACCATATATATAATTGCTAACTAAGGCAAATTATGACAATTATTGCGAACTGAACAATAAAAGCACCAGTAACACTGTCTGCAATCAGGTACTACAATATATACAGGTGACTGGAGAGCGTACAGACTTCTACATAGGCTTGGTTATGTGCATCGTGTCGTTATCCACAAGTGGTATTTTGTGTACTCAACAACAGGAGTGCACACAAATAATATTGAAGTTATGTGGTCGATGCTAAAAGAGGTTTTGCGAATTTATCATGGCTCCAGATACCGACTATTCGGTAGCCATATGGATGATTTCCTGTACTGCATGCATTACGATTTTAGAACCTGTGAACCTCTTTCTAACATTGACTAGTTTTTGAACCATGTATAAAAAGTGTATCCACTTTATTTCTTTGGTCTCATATCATATATTTTTACTCTATACTGACTGTTTGCTGATTGGTTGATATTTCTCAAGGCCAATTAC